ATTTTGAGCATTTCTAATCTCCACCGCACCGAGCGGGAATACTTGGGTGACCGTGAAGGGTCCCGACCACCTCGAACGTTGCTTTCCTGGAAAGAGTTTCAGGCGTGCATTGAAGTGCAGAACACGATCACCTACCTGAAACTCCTTTGGGCCCCTCAACCGAGTATCGTGGAGAAGCTTGGTTCGCTCATTGTAGAGAAGGGTGTTCTCGTAGGCGTGGTAACACCATTCCTTAAACTCCATCAGTTGTAGCTTACGTTTAGTACTTGCAACACTCAAATCCAGATTTAGCAGCTTAAGGGCCTAGAATTCCTTGTGCTCTAGCTCTATTGGCAAATGACACGCCTTCCCATAGACAAGCCTATAGGGTGAAGTACCAATCGGGTATTCGTAGGCTTTCCTATATGCTCAGAGAGCATCATCGAGCTTGGTGGACCAATCTTTGCGGGACTGATCAAACGTCTTTTCACTTATTCGTTTGGGGTTGGTAAGCCACCGACACCTGATGTTTAACACCATAGCGAGAGAGGAGCTTAGTGAATTGCACTTGAAAATGAGTTCCTCTATCACTTATGATGGCACACGGTGTCCCGAACTGGGAGAACAACTGCTTCAGAAATGAGCAGACCCGCCTTCTGTCATTGGTGTGTAGGGCTTGAGCTTCTGCTCACCTCGAGACGTAGTCTACTGCAACCAGTATGTACAAATTTCCAGAGGATGGAGGAAATGGGCCCATGAAATCGATGCCCCAAACATCAAAAATTTCACAAACGACAGATATATGTTGGGACATCTCATCCCGGGAAGACATGTTACCTGACCTCTGGCAGCGGTCGCACTATCTTGCGAAGGTGTCTACATCCTTCAAGAGTGAGGGCCAATAGAAGCCCGACTGTAGCACCTTCCGCGCCGTGCTGTTTCCTCCAAGGTGACCGCCAGTAGGTCCCTCGTGGCATTGAGACAGGATGTCGCCCATCTCGTGCTCCATAACGCAGTGCAGATGACGCCATCTGCTCCGACCCAGAAGAGGTAAGGATCCTCCCAGAAATAATGCTTCAGGTCGGAGAAGAACTTGCATTTTGCATGAGTGGCCATCCCCTTAGGTAGCTTCTTGCCCACCAGATAATTGGCAAAGTCAGAATACCAAGGGGTAACACTGTCCACCAAGGTCATCGCCAGCAATCGCTCACCCGGGAAGGAGTCATCGATCTCTTCCACGAAGTTGTCCACCGGAGGGGCTTCCAACCGTGATAAATGATCTGTAGCAACATTCTCGGCTCCCCTCTTGTCCCGGATCTCGATATCAAATTCCTCCAGAAGTAGGATCCAGCAGATGAGCCTAGACTTTGCATCCCCCTTGTTCATCAGATAGCGAATCGCTGAGTGATCTGTGTAGACCACCACATGGGAGAGCACAAAATATGGTCGGAACTTGTCAAATGCATACACCACAACAAGCAGCTCCTTTTCAGTGGTGGTGTAACTCTGCTATGCATCGTTCAAAGTCTTTGACGCGTAATAGATGGGTTGGAAATGCTTCTCGCGTCTCTAACCCTGAACAGCTCCGAATGCATAGTCACTCGCATCACACATCAGCTCAAAGGGAAGAGACCAGTCAGGAGTCACCACGATGGGTGCATGGGCAAGCTTCTCCTTCAATGTCTCGAATGCAGCTATGCACTCAGGAGTGAACTGGAATGCTCCATCCTTCTCTAGCAGCTTGTTCAGAGGCAGGGCAATCTTTGAGAAATCCTTAATAAACCTCCTGTAGAAACCTGCATGACCCAGAAAGCTGCGGATCCCCTTCACAGAAATGGGAGGAGAAAGCTTATTGATATTCTCTATCTTCGCGCGATCCACCTCAATCCCTTGCCTGGAGATTTTGTGCAATAGCACAATCCCATCACGAACCATAAAATGACACTTCTCCTAGCTGAGTGCCAAATTAGTCTCCTCGCACCTCTTCAGAACCAGTTCCAGGTTATGGAGACAATGAGTGAATGAGTCTCCATAAACCGAGAAGGTGTCCATGAAGACTTTCATGATCTCTCTAACCAGTTGCTCAAAGATCGCCAGCATACATCTCTGGAAGGTCGCCGGTTCATTACATAACCCGAATGGAATCCTTCGGTAAGCAAAAGTACCGCAGGGGCAAGTGAATGTGGTCTTCGCCTAATCCTCTAGCGCAATGGGTATCTGAAAGTAGCCAGACATGCCAACAAGGAAGCAGTAGAACTCATGGCCAGCCAACCGCTCCAGCATCTGATCAATGAAAGGTAGGGGAAAATGGTCCTTCCTGGTGGCGTCGTTCAGGCGCCGGTAATCGATGCAGACTCTCCAGCCGGACCACAATCATCCCGCCTTTCTTCAGGATCACCTGGGTGGGGCTGATCCACTTGCTATCAAATATAGCAAATATGATTCCTACATCCATCAGCTTCACAATATCTGCTCGTACCACTGCCTCCAAGTTAGGAGACAATCTCCGTTATGGCTGCCTGACTAGCTTAACCTCATCCTCCATTAGAATTCTGTGGGAGCATAAGGATGGGCTAATGCCTGACTGACTTAGCCACCAGCCTGCTCTTTTGTTCGGGTGTCAGATCCGAGATAATAATGACCAGGAGCTTATTCCCCTCGCGGATAAATGCATACTCCAGGTGAGCGGGAAGGGGTTGAAGCTCCAGCTCTCGTGGCTCTTCCAATGATGTGGCGATCCGGGGCGAGATGGGGATCGGCTTGACTGGTTTATCTCGCCCCTCGATCACAGCTTCATCTAGATCGGCGAGCTGCTCCTCTAGCTGCAGCTCATGCGATGCCTGTTCTCCTAACAAAAGACACGCTCGAGGAAATTGTTAGTACCCACACCCGTGATGACGAATGCGGTCACAAAATTAGCAATAACATCGCAGTAATCGAGATCATCATGGAGCTGGGGGTGTTTCATATTATCAGAAATAGAGAATGTGATTTGTTTAGCCCCAGCCTGCAAAATTAATTTCCCATCATTCACTTCAATAAGCGCCTTGGCGGTGGCGAGAAAAGGTCTACCCAGTATTAAAGGCACATCCACATCCTCATTTATATCAAGAATCACAAAATCAACAGGATATGAGAATGGCCCTACTGCGACTATCAAGTCCTCTGCAATGCCCCTAGGATGCACAATGGATCTATCAACAAGTTTAATGCTCATCCTAGTATTATTGGGTTCACCTATGCCTAGCTTTTTAAACAATTTATATGGCTTGTTCTGCAGGATGGCAGAACACTCCTCGTTGAGCATCACCGTCGATAGCTCCGCAAGCTTCCTCTTGTTGGTGAGGAGATCCTTCATGAACTTAGCATACTTGGGCATCTTCGATAATAACTCTACGAAGGCAATACTGATGTTTACCTGCTTCAGCATTGCCATGAATTTGGCAAACTCAGTCTCCAGTCGGTTTTGTGCAACCGAGTAGGAAAGGTAAGTTGCGGTACATACTCCTTCACCACTGGTTTTGGCTTAGGAGTAGGCACCTCAACCTCCTTCTCCATTTCCTCTTCATTAGCTGGAAGTGCTAAAGCAAGTGTCTCTCTCTTCTGTCGTGTCAGGACAGGTGGGTCAGCAGTCACTTTGCTACTCTTGGTAGTAATGGCCTTGCAGGGCTTGTTTAGGTCCTGCGGATGAGGAATGGTCTGACTAGGTAAAGTACCAGGAGTCCTCTATGCTACAGCCTGTGCCACACTCCCCATATGAGTCTGGATATCCCGCAATACAACTTGCGTGTTTCTCTGGCCAGCCTCAAGCTCCGTGAATTTACTAGAGGATTTCTCCATGAACTGCTCGATATTACTAAACTTATTAGAACTAGAAGTGGCTAGAGAACCCACCAGATCGCACAAATCGGCCATCGGATAGCTCTGTATTGGGGTTGCGGGGGCTGCACCTACCTGATGAAATGGCTGCATCTGTGACTGAGGAGGAACTGGCCCCTGTCTGGGTGGGTAGTGAGGCTGCTACTGCTGAAATTGCCCTTGTCTGGGCTGGTAAGGAGGCCCCTGGAAGCGTGGCGATCCTTGGGAGACTGGTGGTCTAGGATTGATCCCACTCTAGGATAAGTTGGGATGCTGGCGCCACCCCTCGTTGTAAGTGTTTCTGTAGGGGTCGAAACGCCTGACATTGCTGATGAAGTCCACCTGCTCATGGGGAGTAGTCGACTCCCTCATCGCCTGACACTCCTCCGCATATGATGAAAGCTTTCGAACCACTGGTAATGCATTGCATGCTGTTGTCTTGTCCCTGAAACCATTCCAGAACAATCTGTAGACACCATTTTTTGTCCGGGCTAAAACATATATAATTACATAAAATTTAGTTTTTTGTTTAAGATTTGCAATAGCGAATCTTAAATGACCTTCTAGGTAAAACATATTTGTAGCATTTCGATTGAGTCTTATTTGCCATAACTCAATTGAGAATGAGCAATAGCAAATCTCGATCGGTACACTTTGATAAGGAGAGTCAACTTTGTTTCAACTCGATTGAGTTAACTTGTTTCGTTTCGATTAGACGAATTAAGCATTCGCTCGATTTGTTCATCACAGGAATTGACTAATCGAATTGGTTCTTAAGACATTGGATTTTGCAAGACTTGGGTCTTGGTTTTTGGTCGAAAGAAATCAATAACCAATAATACTTATTTCTATTAATAACAATTATATTATGACTACCAATGATAATAATTACATTACGATTTTAAAATACAAACTAAAAATTACAACTAATAAATAAATGTTACATCACAACTAATTTAAAATAGTTCTAACCGTCAATAATTAGCTCAAGTCCAAAACACAAGTCAAAGTCCAAGGTCGACAAAAGTAAAAGTCAACTATAGGTCAAACATGCAATCAAACCAGTCAACAAAGTCAAACCGGTCAGAGATCAGGTCTGACCAAACCCATATCGGTGCGATCCAACTCAGACCGGTCCGACACAAAAGCGTCATTGTTGTAAACTTTGGGAACAAGTTTTCTTTTTCTATAAAAATCCATCTGTTCCATACCAAAAAAAAAAAATGGCGCAGACTCCCTCTCTCCTTCTTCTTCATCTTCATCTCTTGATCATTTCCAAACTCCCTTCCTCTTTGCACACACAGAACCACTTCTCTTCTTTCTCTTTACCACAAACCCACATAAACAGAGGACTTCTCTTGGAACCTTTTCTCTAGAGACAGCTTCTTCTTCCCCACGTCTCCACTTCCTGAAACAAAGACAGACAATGATGAGAGTACAAGACCTCCTCTCCTAATACCGATAAAAACAGAGCAGAAAAGAGAGAACAAAACTCTGCAAAAGAAAATCCCACTTACGCTCCTTTCTTCTTACTTCTTTTAGCCACGTACAAAACATACGAAAAAGCATACACCAGAAAAAGGAGAAAGCAAACGGCAGCAGCAAGAAATCTGGAAAGGGGCGGTTCCCTCCTTCGTCTTCCTTCATTTTCCATACGGATTTACACTCTTTCCTTCTGTTTCCCTTCACCAAGAAAAACAAAGCAGTCCACTTTCTTCTGTTTCTTTTTCTTCTCACCTACATCTTCTTCTAGTTTTTCTCACTCACAGACCAACCATACACACAATATAAAACAAAGAGGCTTCTTTCTCTTCCAAACCCAAACAAACACTCACAACAAAGAATCAGAAGAGGACAATAAGAAAAATCCCATTCCCACTCGTTTGTCTTCCCCACACCAACAGAACACATACAACAAAAAGAAAACTAAAAAGAAAAGGAGGATCAGAAGGCAGTAGTAACCAGCAAAGCTCCCAGAAGTTAGTGGAAGAGGCAGCCAGCTATACCCTTCACCAAACAGCAAGCAAAAGCCATCTTACCCACTATAGATAGCTCAAATTAGACCCACCATCACAACGAAAAGCAAAGCCATACACCAAAAAAGAGACTCGGCCTGTTCTTCTTATCAAGTATCGACAAAACAAAAAGAAAAGAGACGACAACAAGCAAACAGTGGAAAGGCAACGACAATAGCGACAAAGACCTTGGAGACCCCTCATCCTCAAAGTTGAAGCGATAGGAACACAGTCTGGCAATCAGTCTCAACCACGAGCTGCTGGAGTTCGTGCATTTCCTTCAGTCGGAGACCAAACTGAATCGCCCGGATTTCAGCTATCTCCCGTGGCCATTGGCCTCTCTCTCTTCAAATTGCTACGTACCGGAAGTTCCCCAATCTCATCTCAAACTAGGGGTGGGCATTCGGTCGGTTCGGTTTCGACCGAACCGAAATTATGAATACCGGGTCCCCGAATTCTTCCAAACCTCAAACCGAATTCGAACCGAATAATAGTTTGGTTTGGTCGGTTTAAACCGAATTATAATTCGGTTCGGTTTTTCAAGCAAAACCGAATTTGTGAAGCTACTTGTATTTTCTCACTTTTAATTTATTTTTCACCCCTAATATAAATAATAAATATCAAATATATGCATCATCAATGATAAAATCAAACTTTTCAACACATAAGTCATAAAACATTTCAAATATTTAAGTCTTAAAACAACTACAAACATAAAAATCCATCATTTAGAGCTTGCAATTATAGTATTTCGGTTTTTCGGTCGGAAATTCGGTTCAGTTGAAAGAACTCTGGTTTCCGAACTAACCATATTTTCTTTCCCAATTCCGAACCGAATAACATTAATTTGGTTTCGGTTCGGTTTAATTTGGTTTCAGTTCGGTTCGGTTTGGGTTTACCGAACCGTTTGCCCACCCCTATCTCGAACCACTACTCCGTAGCCTGTTCCCTGGCCAGCCAGCACCATCGCATCGACGTTCATCTTCAGCCCCCCCTCCGGTGGTTTTTGCCAGTGGACTTGGGTATCTCAGTAGCTTGCTTGTTTCCCTTGTCTACAGTCTCTTGTGGTTGTTTGTCCATCTCATTAGGACCTGTCTCCATTGAAGTTGAACCAGAACTTTCTAGGTCGAACTTCCTTCTAAGCTGCCTCCATATATTAGCCTCTTCCTTCTTTGCCTTGTGTGACAGCCAATTTCTTGGGGCCGGAGGTGCTGATCTCATATCAAAACCATAAGGGTCGACAGCTAAACCCGAAGGTTGTGGGCATTTTGTCTTTACAAGTCCTATTCTACCACATGAATGGCAGAATAGAGGAAATCATCCCACATCTTCTCTGAACTATCATCAAAGAACACAAACTCGCCTTTTCTGTTTGCCACTTTCTCTGCCATTAACTGAGTTTGGAGCTCTGCTGGAAAGTGCTTTATTTGGATACATATTTCCATCTTGTGGAAATCTGTTGGAATTGGTTTTTCAATCCACCAGCTTGCCATGAACAGCATAGCGTTATTTTCATAGTGCCAGGGTCCTCCATAACAGACTTTGTTGCGGTCGTCCATCTCCAGAAATTGAAAAGCGAACAGTCTGCCTACCAGACCCAGATGGCGGACCGACTCCATTCTGACTACATCGATATCTAAGTCTTCCACCTCTAAAGGTTCTTCGTCATCTTCATCCAGAGTGATTTGGTGGAGCTGTTTTTCTATCCCTGCCGCGGGATCTTGTATGTCGCCTGCAGCTGCCTTTAGCCCTGCTTCCTCCTATCTATTGTTTGTTGATGCCATTGTTGATGTAGCGTGGGTTACACTCTTCAACCTTTTCATTCTAAAACAACTTAGGATTTTCTCCGCCGTTATTGAGCGCCGACTTTCTTTTGATGGAATATCTTTGTGTGAGCAGAAAGAGTTTTGAAGACGCTATGAGAGCTCCAGCGAGATTTTGACCTCGTCTTCCTCGTAAAAGTTGTAGTCACCGAGTTGTAGTCGGAAAACCTAGGGTTTCCACCGCCAAAGTTTCACTCTCGCCAACCGAGAGAGCCTCTCCGAGTGTGTCGAACAATGACCCCTAAATGTGTTCTAGGAATCGACTTGGCTACTCAATTAATACTTGCTAAGTTAACATCTTCTTTTTACTTTATGAGCTTAATGTTGCTTAATACGAAATTATGATCAATAGATCGTGATATTCTGAAGAAATTTATTCAAAATTATTAATAGTTCGATTAACAAATCCACATATCAAATTTATTTTCTCAATCTCAAAACTTAAACACGAAGCAATTATACGTGTTAGGTTTCCTCTTTCAAAATCATCTCAATTTACCGAACTACGTGGACTTTGATCCCGATTAACTCGGGTACGTAGGCACTAGATGAAGCAATAATTTAGCAGAATCTTTCTATTCAATTCCGAATTAACTCATGAGATAGACTTGAATTTCTTATATTTTTGGAAACATGATCACATAGCTTATATATCATACATGAACCAATAGGTTCGAGTCCAACTAATAAAAAATATTTTCATTACTTTCTTGATTTTGCATCAATAGACAGATAATCTAATTGTATACCAATTTTAACTCATTAGTCCAATTGGACTCCAAAATACGTAATTAACAAATTTTAAATAATAACTATCTAATTAATCAAATCATATAATTAAATACATCAAGAAAGCCGCAAATAATAATACACCCAATTCTTAGAAAAACTTATCGATTTAAGTAGTACCCATTTGGGGCGTTGTGGGGTGTGAATACACTTCCCCACACACAACTGTACTCCCGAACCCATAAACCTAAATTTCGCAGACCAAATCCCGGTTCTGACCCTAAGGTTGGAATCGGACCAAATGGTGCTCGACCCACCAGAAAGTAAAGTCGATGGCGACTCCGAGCGTTTCGCGACTAACTCCCCGATTTCGAGGTGCGGTTGCGACAGTGGCAACTCCGTTGGGGACCAATTTGAGAGTCGAGCTATATTATTTATATCGATAAGTTTTCTTACTATCTTTGATTTGCTGGGTGTTTACTTTTTGTATTTGCGCATTTAATTTGTATCACATTTAATTATTTGCATTCATTCATAAAAGCTCTATACCCGAGCTGTCCTTATAGAAAAAAAGGAAGAAAGTACCGTGACTCCTACAATAGTAGGGGAAATGTGAAAACTTCCCAACCAGGTTGAACTCAAATCCGAGGATGATTTGAGGTATCATGCTAAACTCGAAAGGGTTATAGTGTGGTACAACTTGGGAGTCTGATTCCTTAAGATCCCTATCCAGCATATAGTTTACCTAGAAATTACCTAAACCGCAACTTATCCTGAAACCTACCTTAAACCTTGTTGCTAAACCGCTTAAAACCCTAAGTTGGTTTGAATATGATGATGTGCTTATGATTCATGTTTGTTTATGATGTAACGAATTATGATTCATCGGTTATACATGAATGTCGTGGTTAGATGCTATGCAAAGTTTATCAAAATCCGTGACACTAGCATTCTTTCGTTAGTTCGTTGTTCACTCGTTTAAAACCAATCATGATGGTAAATGTTCAAACATTCTTGCATCCACAAAAAAAAAACATCTTTCATACGCACAATCGTACCATTTAACACGACTATCTTACATTCATCTCATTTAGCATGACTATTATACACTCATCTCAGTTAGCAACATGTCACAATTTAACCATGATATGACAAAGATTCTCTAAAGTTGCTCATTCACAAGGATAAAGTCAACCTTTGAGTACAAGTTCCAAGGTTGTGCTCATTACGGAGTTCAGTCTAGAAGCAATTTGATGACACCAAAAGAAGGTCAACCATATATGAAGAAATGAAATGACAAGTTGCCATGTTCACGAGAAGTTTGTCGAAAATTCAAAGAATAAGCCAATTGTCCAAACTTCAACGACAACCCACGATAAGTTTGTCGAAAATTATAAGAAGAAGCCAATCGTCCATACATCGACAATCACCCATTGACAACTCATGGGATTAGTTGGCACGCTGCAAGACGAAGCTCTATTCAATAATGATGTCAATCCTCATGAGCAAATGAGCATGAATGCGTATTACCTTATGTTTCAAACAATCTCCTTCATACTAAAGAATAGAATGTCATTTGCATTTCCACCAATTTGGGACATTGTGTGACTACTACCAATTTTGATTTAGAAGGTTGCATCAATGATTCCTTCTCTTTACAAAATGATGGACATCTTTCCAAAAAAAAAAAACTTTAAGATCAACTTGTTCTAAAGTTAAGCCATGAGATTTTCATATTAAGCCAATATAAGCACCCCACTGGTGTCGAGTGATTTATAAATACTTAGTCGATATCAATAATTTTTGCAGCAGAGTGTGCACACCCTACCGGTGTCGAGAGTTTGAGCACCCCCACTAAACTTGAGAGTATAAACACCCCACTGGTGTCCATAAGTAACATGAGCTAAATAGTTAAAGGGTTCAACGAGGATACGACATCAGGCTATTTGTAGAGGCTTGTCACTGCCATTTTCGAACATCTCTATCAAATCAGGGCTCGACTAGAAAGGGGGTTGAGTAGTGTAACACCCTACCCTATATGTATTACCTAATCATATTGATCATACAATTGCAGCGGAAATAATCTCGGGTGTTACATTAATTATCAAAATTTACCAAAATAAAATTTCGACATGAATTACTCGCGTAATGGGCTAACAGTTCTTGCAACTTATCCTGCAAAAATAATTCATCACAAACATATATACTAACAACCATATGCATTGGCTTTTCTTAGCCATAGTCACACTTTTCATACTCCACAACTGCATACCATACTTATACATACCATAATCGTCACAACTTACACAGTTACACAACATATACACATATCATCAACTTTCCACACCGGTGGATATCTCACACTAGATCAGAAGCTAGTATGCACATGAAAAACGTTCTCAAAATTTTTTTACAAAAATGTGTGGATCACTGGCCAAAATCCCGAGTAGTAGTCCAAGCATAGAATAGTTGAAGACCATACCTCATCTTGCCTTCAACTCTTGCTCAGCTCCCACCTATACACCTATCTACTGCTGCTGATGATGATGATTTGCTTACACATGGCATAAGCAGAGAAAAACTATAAAGAGGGTCAGCTCATAGCTGAGTGAGATAATCATAGCATCGTGAGTTCATAACAAAGCATACCACTACCATACATCTAGCAAACAGGCCAAAGCACTGGCATCAGATCTCATCCCTCCAACATCCCAATAGGCAAAAGACTCAACCACCTTGACTTATGCATATGCATCTTATCATGTTTTAATCATAGGCGCCTGGCTACTCCCATGCTAATAACTCTCCCTGGAAACATACCCCACATCCCGTCGGATATAGTCATACATACCCCAACATCCCGTCGGATGTGGTCATACATACCCCACACCACTATGGGTGTAGTCAGACCCCGACACCGCTCTTGGAGTGGTCATATCTCGTAATGAGAGGTGTGACTATCATACATATCATAATAGAGTAATAGCATAGGGAACCCTAATTACTATGTAGTTAACCGTGAGACCACAACACTCATATTTGGTATCATTATACATGATTCATATCTCATCTTGCTTAATCATAATTCATTACTTGCATATGTACTTGACCTGGCCATAATTGGCTCAACATAGGTAAATCAGGAGTCGTATAATTGCACTTCCTCGGGATAAACCCTCGTGCAAGTCATCCTCCTTAAACATCATAATATCACCCTGGGAAGTTTATTTCCCCCACTTGTGCATCCAAATACAACAATCATGAAAAATCATACCTAATCACCTTCTCGAACCATCGTAAAGCATATTAACATTCAAGACCACAATTTGCAACATATACACAATCATCAGCATAAACAAGGTTCATATCGATTAGGGCAAGTCAATAATATCATACAGCAATCTAGGGTTCAACATATAGCACAAAAGCTCATACACCCCTAATCATGCCATTCTAGTTCACCTAGATCAATTCTAAGCATCAATATAATTATCGTGATACGACAAACCCGGTATGCCGTGCTAATTCTTCACAGTTCTGGTCGTTCAAACACCGGTTTAACCTTCCCGTACTAAAACGTCAATTTCACGAACGAACCCCGAATTAAAATCTGAGACTGTCCTAATATCCCCTGCAGTATCCCCGTCAATATTAGTTATGGGCTCCGGGTCAAATTCTTGATTAAAACACATCAAACCCTAGTCGGAGCTAAATTCAGCGATTAGGACCTCGACCTAAATAATTGCCGAAATTCAGGGATTAGAACTAGAGTATTGATTACCTCGCTGCAGGAAGCTCGTATATGAAATTTGGGCTCAATCCGGCTTCCGGATACTCCGAAACCCTAATTTGGCTTATCGTGAATTCAAGAAATTCCTGAACCAAAAACTCGTTTTAAAGCTCTAAATCGATAAATCACGATGTATGGATGAATTAGGCATTACTTACCGGATTTTTGGATCACTGTAGCTCAAGAATTAAGCTGTGAAATTTTTCCACGACGCTCCCCTGTTCGCGGCTCTCTGGTTTTGCTTCTCTCGGTGGAAAGTGAAAAGAAGATGAAGATAATTAAATGAACAGGGAATTAAATGGACGCAGTATATATATATATATATAATTAATTAATACGTATACTTATCCGATCGATCGATAATCCTATTTTCGCCGAAATATTGCCAAAATGCTCGATTTTAAATCGCAAACTTTCTAGCGATCGAAATATGGGTTTTGCCTTAACGGGATGTTACAATTCTCCCCTCCTTAAAAGATTTCGTCCCCAAAATCTAACCTTGAGTGGTACTCTAAGTCCGCTTACTTACCCTTGACATGGTCTATCATAGATAAACCATTACCTAACTCTTAGAGTAGGCGATTCATAACATAGAAAATAACACATAACACCTCAAGTTCCCATGTTTAGGTTTCAAAAACCTATACTGGGCTATCACAACAAAGCACATCAACAAGCTGAAAACATAACTTATTAGGCAAGATTGTTAACCTGCAAAATAGGTTGCTACTAACTTAGGGTACTTCTCTCGCATACTTGCTTCAGTTTCCCAGGTAGCACTCTCACTTTCTTGATTTCTCCAAACCACTTTCAACATTGGGATTTCCTTCCTACGAAGATTCTTAATCTGAAAATCAACAATCTCAACTGGAACCTCCTCAAAAGTCAAATCTGAACTCAACTCGATCTCTTCTGGTTGTATAACATGGGAAGGATCCACTTTGTACCTCTTCAGCATATTAACATGAAATACATTGTGGATTTGGGATAGTTCAGGAGGCAATGCTAACTTATAAGCCACTGGTCCAATCTTCTTTGTGATTTCATATGGCCCAATATACCGAGGTGCAAGTTTCCCTTTCTTACCAAATCTCATCACCCCTTTCCATGGTGACACTTTGAGAAATACTTTCTCACCCACTTCAAAATTAACTTCACGCCTATTCGTGTCAACATAAACTTTCTGCAGATCTTGAGCCACCCTCAAACGCTCCCTGATTTCTTTGACCTTGTCAACTGTGATCTGAACTATCTCTGGCCCTGAAATTTGCCTTGCTCCTTCTACATCCCAACATAATGGTGTTCTACATTTTCTCCCATAAAGTTCTTCATATGGTGGAACACCCAAACTACTATGGTACTGATTGTTGTAAGCAAACTCGATCAGGGGCAAATGGTCAATCCATGATTCCTCCCATTGCATTACACATGATCGAAGTAATTCCTCCAAAGTTAGGATGATTCGTTCACTCTGCCCATCTGTTTGAGGATGATAAGCTGAAGTAAAATGTAATTTAGTTCCCAAGGCATCATGTAAACTTTGCCAAAACCGAGATGTGAAGCTCGGGTCTCGATCAGAGACAATAGAAATTGGCACACCATGCAATCTGACAATCTCCTTAATATATAGTTGAGACAAAGTCTCCAGTGATGGTTTCCATCTAATGGGTAAAAAGTGAGCCGATTTGGTCAGTCGGTCCACAATAAACCATACTGCATCTTTTCCCCTTGATGATGGGAGACCATGTACAAAATCCATTGTGATTCTTTCCCACTTCCATTCTGGAATTGGAAGTGGTTGCAGTTTTCCCACGGGAGCTTGATGTTCTGCCTTAACTCTCTGACATACTAGACATGTGAAAACATGTTCAGCCGCTTCCTTTTTCATCCCACGCCACCAAAAATATGGTTTGATTGTGTGATACATTTTAGTTTCTCCTGGGTGCATAGCATAAGCAGAAGAATGGGCTTCATCTAGGATCTCCTTCCTCAAGTTATCAACATTAGGAACACATGCTCTTCCATTCATCTTCAACATGCCATCTACCATTTCAAATGGGCTATCTTTTCCTTCCTCAATGTCTTGAATGATTTTTGCCAACTCTGGGTCCTCCTTCTGCTTCTCACAAATTTTGTTGTGTAACAAAGGTCGAATGTTTAACCGAGCTAGTAACCCTGTCACACCATCCACTTCCAAATCCACATTCATTGCCCTCAAATCAACCAGATCATTTATATTCTTCTTCCCCTTTCTGCTTAGGGCATCAGCAACTACTTTAGCTTTACCTGGATGGTAATCAATTGTACAATCATAATCTTTTAGAAGTTCAATCCATCTCCTCTGGCGACCATTTAAATCCTTTTGATCCATAATATACTTCAGGCTTTTATGATCAGTGAGGATTTTAAGAGTCTCACCATACAAATAATGTCGCCAAATCTTGAGAGCAAATACCATCGCTGCCAACTCCAAATCATGAGTGGGATAATTTACTTCATGAGGACGCAATTGCCTAGAGGCATATGCGATAACTCTTCCATCTTGCATTAACACACAACCCAGTCCTTGATATGAGGCATCACTATACACCACAAACTCTCCATGGTTTGAAGGTAAAGCCAGTACTGGTGCTGTGGTCAATTTCTTCTTCAGTTCATCAAAACTCTTTTGACATGGTTCATCCCAAACATACTTGGTATTCTTCCTCAACAGTTTAGTCAATGGTGCAGCAATTTTAGAAAATCCTTCGACAAACCGCCGATAGTAACCCGCCATGCCAAGAAAACTTCTCAACTCCGACACATCTTTTGGTGGAGCCCAACTCACCACTGCTTCCACCTTTTTCGGATCCACCTCGACACCTCTTCCAGAAATTACATGTCCCAGAAATATTACCTCCTTCAGCCAAAATTCACATTTTGAGAATTTTGCATATAATTGTTTCTCTCTTAGAATTTGCAACACAATTCTAAGGTGAGTTTTGTGCTCCTCCTCGCTTTTAGAATAGATGAGAATATCATCTATGAACACAATCACAAACTTATCAAGATATTAATGGAAAAATCTGTTCATAAGAGCCATAAATACCGCTGGTGCATTAGTGAGTCCAAAAGGAATTACCAGGAACTCATAATGCCCATATCTTGTTCTAAAAGCTGTCTTTGAAGTTGCTCCATCTGCCACTTTCAATTGATGGTATCCAGACCTCAAATCAATCTTAGAAAAAACTGATGCACCCTGCAATTGATCAAACAAATCATCTATTCTTGGAAGGGGATAACGATTCTTCACTGTCACCTTATTCAACCTCCGTAGTCAATGCACATTCTCATGGAGCCATCTTTCTTCTTGACAAATAAAACCGGTGCACCCCAAGGTGAGATGCTAGGTCGAATAAACCCCTTGTCTAACAATTCTTGCAATTGTTCTTTAAGCTCCTTCAGCTCAATTGGTGCCATTCTATATGGTGCCCTTGAAATTGGTGTTGTTCCAGGTACCAATTCAATATCAAACTCTACTTCCCTTTCTGGTGGAAGGCCAGGAAGTTCTTCGGGGAATACATCAGGAAACTCCCTTACCACCTCTACATCCTCAACCTTCTTATCATTTACTACAGTAACTTGAGAAAGAAAGGCTTCACAACCTTCCTTCACTAATCAAAAAGCTTCCAAGGCAGAAAGAAAACCATGAGTCTCCTTTTTCTTAATGCCTCGAAATACAACATGACCTTTATCTGGTGTGTTGAATAACACTTCTTTCTTTTGACAATCCACAACAGCTCCATGTGTTGCCAGAAAGTCCATTCCAAGGATGACATCAAATTCATCAAAAGGTAGCAGAATTAAATCTGCTGCTAAGAAAGCTCCTTCCACACAAATGAAGGAACTTCTAATTACTGAGTCTACCTTCAAGGTATCTCCCACAGGTGTTTTAACACATAAGGTATAACCTAGCTTATCTGGAACTAAACGTAGCATATGTGCAAACGTATATGACATGAATGAGTGAGAGGCTCTGACTGTGTAGCTCTTACTTCTCTCGAATGCGGACAGTCCCTCATGATGTGCCCATGTTGGCCACAGTGAAAGCATACACGAGAAAATCTCCTACACTCTCCAAGATGCCTCTTCTGACAAACTTGACAAAATGGAAATTGTGTGGCTGAGGAAATTGGTGCCCTGTATGATGTTCCCGACATAGATTGACTTGGTGTTCTCCCAAAACTGCTGGGACCTCTCCTGGGTGGGTAACGAGGTCCAACATAATTTACTCCAAACTTCCTCTTCTTCTCCTCTTCTTTGCCCTTGTGTTCCTCTCGGCTCTCAACTTCATAGGCTTCATACTTAAGTGTTGCCTCCTTGATTGTGGACATGCTCTCTTCATCAACCCTGTGGATATTTTCTTTCAATCCTATGCCCAGACCATGCAATTATCTCATCTTATTCTTATGCTCAGTATCCGCCAACCCATCTTCAAAGTAGAGTAGTGGAACAAACTTGATGGTGTACTCAATAACTATCATATTCTCCTGCTTAAGGTTGGCGAATTCATTATTCTTTGCCTTGATAAAAGCTTCGGGAAGAAACTCTATCTTAAAGGCCTTCAGAAACTCCTCCCAGGTGAACTGAACTCGTTCACCATTAACTCTAGAGACTGAGGACCACCAGCTCCTTGCGTACCCCTTTAGGAGAAAAACAACATATTGTACTTTTTCCTCTGGGGTCGCATAAAGATACTCAAACACATCTTCCATCTCCCTCAACCACTCTAACACAGCATCCGGACTCACATCTCCTTTAAAGTCCTTACCACCCAAACTCTTCATCTTTGCATAGTCTAATACTGGCGGTCTTGCATCAACCGCCCCCACTCCTCTCGACTGGTCAGTAGGAACATTTTCACAACTTCCGTGCGAGCTACAAGGAAATATTGGCCTTAGCTTGATCCACACAAAATTCATTCTTCACCAAATCTCTCTCTTGGTTAAAACAAAAATTTTCCCAAAATAATTACTTGAAAACAAATAAGTTCAAAACTCAATTTTGAAAACCATGATGCAGGTAATTTCATCCAATATACCAATACACATAATCATGTCAAACTCAATTCCCAGTTTAAGTCATTATGGGGTACTCCCCTCCTTAGGAGTGTTTAACCTCTCATAGGGTATAGTACGCCATAACAACAAAAAGAGGTAACCGGGCTCTGATACCAAATTGTAACACCCTACCCTATATGTATTACCTAATCATATTGTTCATACAATTGCAGCGGAAATAATCTCGGGTGTTACATTAATTATCAAAATTTACCAAAATAAAATTTCGACATGAATTACTCGCGTAATGGGCTAACAGTTCTTGCAACTTATCCTGCAAAAATAATTCATCACAAACATATATACTAACAACAATATGCATTGGCTTTTCTTAGCCATAGTCACACTTTTCATACTCCACAACGGCATACCATACTTATACATACCATAATCGTCACAACTTACATAGTTACACAACATATATACATATCATCAACTTTCCACACCTGTGGATAGCTCACACTAGATCAGAAGCTAGTATGAACATGAAAAACATTCTCAAAACATTTTTACAAAAATGTGTGGATCACTGGCCAAAATCCCGAGTAGTAGTCCAAGCACAGAATAGTTGAAGACCATACCTCATCTTGCCTTCAACTCTTGCTCAGCTCCCACCTATACACCTATCTACTGCTGCTGATGATGATGATTTGCTTACACATGGCATAAGCAGAGAACGGGATGTTACAAGTAGCCTAATTACTGTATCAAAATTCTCAAATTTCTCACAGAATCCTCATGACTAGAAGGTTGGGGAAGCTGAAAGATCCTATTTGACGAACTCATTGGTGCTCAAAATCAAAAGCGTCAAAATGACACCATGTATGGGAAATTACAAAGCTAAGTAAATTCCACACAAAAAAAAAAGAGCAAAAGCAAAAGCAAAAAAAAAAGCCAAAAAGGCAACGAAAAATCAGAAAAAGCTCATGGGACTTACACGTTAGATACCCCTACACGAGCCCTTGAAGTCATAATTACTCGAACTAGTCACGAGTGAAGGTTACTGAATACCTTTTCTAAAATGCCAAAAGAATGATTTCGACTCTACCGTCAACGTGGTCACAAAAGCGATGTAGAGTCACCCTCTCAACCAACCTGTCTACACACTCCTGCGGGGGCTAGTCATCAAAATAATCACTTATCCAAATGAAGAGTATTCTTTTGCGAAGCTTGAAGAAATGACACAAGTAAACTCGAATAAGACGGGGCACCCAAGAGAAGAATGTCTGTCTGATCTAAAATCCACTCCATGGTCATCCTCATTTTCCATCACTTGAACTCTCCCTTTCAAGATAAGCAAAAATCTCATGATGGAAGACTTCAGCAACCATGTTTGCACCACACAAGGGTCTTTGACATTCATTATTTCAATTGCCAAGGAGAACTCGCCTAAATCATACCACGAACTTCATTACCCATCCTTTCAAGGACAAATAAGGATCACAACTACCAAAGAAATTTCCACATTCGAGTTTGCACTCAAAAGGATCTTAGTTATTCACTTCTCGACCTTACCCTCATAACCAAAATTTCAAGACAAGGGGGCAACGTGAGTCAAAATATATCCAAAATACCAAGGTGAACTACAATCCTTGAATAAAAAGAGACGTCATCAACACAGATCTCCTTTATCCATCAGTCAGCCTCATACTCTGTCTGGGGGCAAGCCAAATCCCTCAGCAAAATTTACACGACTAAGGATGGAAGTCTCATTTATCCATCACTCGTGTGGGAAAATTCAGATTCCCAAAACATGATAACTCTTACGGTTGGGGTCATATAAGACACGAGATTCTTTCAAGGAACTTTGAAAACTTTTACCACTAAACCATACAAGGATCGCTCGAACTCTCCAAGATCAGCAAGTCTATACCTCAAGCACATTTTTTTTCAACAGCGTGGTGACTAGAATCTTGATAGTAGTCGAAGTATCATAAACTCGAAGCACCCATAGGAACGAGTGAGAGCGAAATTGAGCATGAGAGTGTGAACAAAAGTGAGGGCTTGTGGATATTCTCATGGCTTGACTTCGAAAAGAAAAACAATTTCTTAAACAATGTGGCAACAACCGCAAAAGAAATTTTTTCTCAAGTTGCACAATCTTCCCTCATGCAAGGCTTTCAATTCTAAAATCCCATCATACTTCCTCAAATGAGATTTCTCAAACTTTGTTGTATTCATCTTAAGTCAAGGTTGGTAAAAGTCACATTTTGTTCCGAAAGGTGGAAAGAAAGTAACATATCCTGGGGGCAAAATGGTGCAACCTAGAAGAGAAGGAAGTTCAAATACTAAAAAGGTGGTCATCCACTCATAAATAGATGGGTAATTTCAGTCGATCTACTCTCAATTCAGGGTATCCAACCAGTCAGCCAATTCATCCTTAAGGCAACATGGCTAGAAGAAGGAGCTCGTGATTACCAAACTAAGTGCCCAACTCAAGATTAAGCCTTTGAGATCCTAGATTGGCAAACCACAAAACTCAGAATTGGTACCAATGGGACATAAAGTGCCCAAATAACAATGATGTATTCTGGAGGATGAAGAATTTCAAACCCTCACAAAGCAAACTATCCAAATTTCTTGCCCCAAAAATATCTCAGGATACCCCGAATTCATTAAACCAATGGGTTACTGAAGCTATCCCCCAACAAAGTATTTTCTACTTCACACTTCCCGATGAGTTCAATCAAACATGTCTATGAAAACCAATATCAACAAGACAATACCTGAGATGTGACTCACTTCTACTGTCACTCCAGGAATTGGCCAAGTAAAACCACTTCCTAAAGGGTAGTATAGCGGGTTGAGGTTTAATTATCAACCCGGGTCCTAGATGTGATGACTACTCAGTGAATTCTTGTTATCTAGCAATGAAACTGGAATGCAAGTCTAAACTACCAAACAAACAAAGCAAGTAAACTGTTGTATTCAGGTTAAGAGAGGTCACCCGGATATGGTTCCCCCTAGACTGCAGTTAAGCCGGATTGTAATTACCAAGTTCAGTTTCTATGATAGTTATACTGCGGAAGGTTCTTAAACAGCCTGAAGTCTCGACTAAAAGTCTTCAGACCTTCTCAATCTGAGTCTCTAGCGGGCGACTAACCTCCACCGGAGTAAACAGATTGAGGCCTTAACAAACAAAACCTCCACTACCAGAGTAAATCTGGTACAGAATAGTGAGTTGGCTCCTCGACTAAAGTCACCAACTCCCTACCTTCAATCAAGGATGCTCTATCAACCTAGGCAGATATTCTCATTCTAGGTTAAAGCAGAAACAACAGGAATTTGATCAGGATTCAAGTCATTCAATCATTCAAACCTCAATCGAATATAATCAAATCATAGAATCAGTACTTGGGTTCATACAATCAAACCTAACATACAAATCTAGGGTTCTCCATACCCAGATGAATGGGAGAACTACTCAATGGAGAAAGAAGCAAAAGCAGAATCAGACGCGGAATTCATACCGTGAAGGATGGATTCCTGCTTCTGGACGTTGATTGGCACTTCTCCAAGCTCAAACTGGCCTCCAATGGTGATGAAGATCAAGCTAGGGCACCTGGAAACTCTTGTTCGTCGCTTTCTCTCTCTAGGAATTGCTCTGTCTCTCTAAAACTCGAATCTCCTTCTGTTTGGCTGAAAATCTGCTTAAAAGGGCATCAGTGGCCAAAGCACGGTCGAGGGCACGGCCGTGTAATGCCTCAGCCCGCCCGTGCTTTGGCTAGTGTTAATTACACTAGGAGAAACACGGTCGTGCTTTTGGGAGGACACGGCCGTGCTTTGGTGAAGCACGCCCGTGTTCTATCTCAGCCCTGCCCGTGTTTTGGCCAATGTTTGCCAAACTCGAATTAGCTCTCGGCAGTAAAAGCACAGTCTCAGAACACGGCCGTGTAATGGTTTAGGTGTGCCCGTGTTTTGGCTCAGCTTCACCGAAATGACTTTTGAATGCCCCGAAACTCGTGCTTAGCCTTCCCTTTTACACCTGGGACCTGAACCATGAAAAAATAGCACAACCCAGCATAAAATAGGCCAAAAACACACGACTATGCCCCTCAAACGGGTAAGAACTAGGGGCGCAAATACGTGCAATTACATCGTTATCAAGATGACATATTCCTCTTAGCTAAACACTACACGGTCGCATATCAAGAAGATCAATCAAGCTAGGGAGCACATTATCCCGATACCACCATGCTACGAGATCCTTCTACATAACCAACCCATCATGTACATATATTGAAGATCATATGGCTAATACATCACTCCTCAAGCACTGGTGTCCAAGCAAAGGACCAACTTTTCGTCGGTCCCAGAAATTAAATACTTCAGACTCAATCAAGAGACAAAGAGGAAATACTAGATGGAAAGCCCAGTAGCTCCAGATGATGACTCACGCCAAAGGAAGAATGCACCCACCAGGGATACCTATGCTACTTCGGCGTGAGCACAATAAAATTAAAAGGGACAATGACATAGCTCCTTGTGGATGATCGATTTAAGAGAATCCTTGACAAAAAAATCAAAACTACGACGAATGGTCATACATGGCCTTTGCATACCTTTCAAGACATCATTATATATCTCATCATACATGCATACGCATCAAACTTATCACATGACATCATTCAGTAAATGACTAGTTTCGAGGAATTCAAAGCCAAAGTAAATATCAATCAGGTAGTACCCTTTCAACAAAATTTCGAATCATGACATTACATCATGTAATATCACGTGATACAGCATCTTGCATTTTCCCGCCCATACGACGTCTAGATAATATTTACAAGTCAAATTTGACACATACCTAAGATACACCTAGACTCAAAAATTTGCTTGATTCGGCACTTCATATCAAGCACACAACTCTATGCCACTCGTCATCAAGTCAAGCTTTCGCATATCCTCATGAATTTTATCGCCAAGACACACATTATCAATCAGGCTATACCGCCACGGGAAGCTCACCCAATCAAGCCATACCGCCAAAATACCAACTCAAGCCCTATCGCCATGATGCCTAAATACCAACACAGGCCCTACCGCCCACGATACCTAAGAACTAACTCAGAACCTACCGCCACGATACCTATGAAAGAAGACAGGCCCTACCGCCACACAAAAAGACCAATGCAGGCTATACCGCCATGAAAGGAAACCATTGTAGGCTACACCGCCATAAAAAGGAATTTATTTCAGGCTATACCGCCAAGATATAAAGAAACCCAAGTCAGGCTATACTGCCATAGAAACAACAAAAATCAAACCATGCTATACCGCCAAGGGACCAACCAAACCCAAATCAGGTTATAACGCCATGGGGGCATACATAAACCAAATCAGCCTATACGGCTACAGGCAAAAACGCCAAGTCAGGCTATATCGCCATGGGGAACAAGATAGAACCAAATCAGGCTATACCGCCATGGATAAAAACCTCAAATCTGGCTCTAACGCCATGGGACCATAAAAATCCAAATCATACTATATCTCACACTTCACTTCACTTACCTTTCATTACACGACATAATCATACTCATCCCACGATTTCCCATACTCATTACCAACATCGCCATGCATTGATTGTCTAGCTTGTCATATCCCGGACAATCCCAAAGCTTTGCCATCAATAAATGTTTAGCATGTCATACCCCGAACAACTTAATTGCATTGTTATGAAAAAATGTCTAGCATGTCATATCCCGGACAACCCCATGGTCTTGCATCAATAAATGTTCAGCATGTCATACCCCCGAACAATTTGATTGCATTTCCTATTAAAATGTATAGCGTGTCATATCCCGAACAACCTCATAGTTTTGCCATCAATAAATGTTTAGCATGTCATACCCCGAACAATTTGATTGCATTGTCTATTCAAATGTCTAGCGTGTCATATCCCGGATAACCCTAGAGCTTTGCCATCAATAAATGTTTAACATGTCATACCCCGAACAGTTTGATCGCATTGTCTATAAAAATGTCTAGCGTGTCATATCCCGGACAACCCTATAATTGCCATCAACAAATGTTCAGCTCGTCATACCCCGAAGAACATATTTTGCATATCCCAAACAACTTGATTGCTTTCTTATGCCATCTTTCAACTTGTTTAGCTAGTTTTATCCCAAACAACTTGAATGCATCATCATAACCAAACAATCGACCCATCACTAATAGTGTCAAAACGCGGTGTCTTAAAAAGAGCTTTGTATACCTCTCAATACTAAGAGATATACAAAGGGGGGCAACTGTAGACACCATTTTTTGTCCGGGCTAAAACATATATAATTACATAAAATTTAGTTTTTTTGTTTAAGATTTGCAATAGCGAATCTTGAATGACCTTCTAGGTAAAACATATTTGTAGCATTTCGATAGAGTCTTATTTGCCATAACTCAATTGAGAATGAGCAATAGCAAATCCAGATCGGTACAATTTGATAAGGAGAGTCAACTTTGTTTCAACTCGATTGAGTTAACTTGTTTCGTTTCGATTAGACGAATTAAGCATTCGCTCGATTTGTTCATCACATGAATTGACTAATCGAATTGGTTCTTAAGACATTGGACTTTGCGAGACTTGGTCTTGGTTTTTGGTCGAAAGAAATCAATAACAAATAATACTTATTTCTATCAATAACAATTACATTATGACTACTAGGGCTTCAATTCGGTTTCCGGTTAGCGGTTAACCGGCCGGTTTAACCGTTAACTGCCGGTTAGCGGCTAACCGGAAACCAAAATTTATGTTCAGCGGTCGGTTGGCGGAAATGTAACATGGTTAGGCGGTTAGCCGAGTAACCGAAGCTGGTTAACCGGCTAACCGACGCTAACCGACCGACGATACGACGTCGTTTTGGCTAAGCATAAAAAACGACCCAACCCTAGGCCCTCTTCGTCTTCGGCCTTCGCAGACTCGCAGTTCGACTTCGCAGCCAACAGCCTCCATCCTCTTCGACCTAACCCTCCCAGTCCCAGCCTCCGACTCGCTCAGCCGCCACTCCTTCTCCCTCACGACCGGCGACCCCCTCATTCGGTCGACAGTCCCATCCCTCACAACCCCCGCCGCCTCCACCTCGACGTCGTCCCGCCGTCCTCCTTCTCCCTCACGAGTCACGACCGCCACCTCCACCTCGACGTCGCCCCGCCGCCCTCCTTCTCGTCGCAGCAGCTCGTCGCCCATTTTGAAGTAGCACTGCAGCAGGCCAACAGCTCGTCGCCCTTTCCCCATTAAAAAAGGGCCTGCAAAGTGCAAATTATCAATTATGTATGTCGAATTAATTTGGTGGATTGGTGATGATTTTGGTGGATTGGTGATGATTTTGAACATATAATGATGTTTATATTTTGATTATGAATGTTGAATGATGATTTTGGTGGATTGGTGATGATTTTGAACATATAATGATGATGATTATTGATTAGTGATTGAAAATGCTTAGTCTCATTACCAAAAGTAATTAGAAATGTAAAATGATGATGAATGATGATGATTGTTAGTTTTTAGTTGTTAGAATTTGTGAATTTAGTTTTTAATTTTAAATTTGTGTAACTGTTGATGTAGGGCGAGACCTCCGGCTCCACGTGGTGGACGTGGCAGACGAGGTGCACCATCCGCTGAGAATGCTTCTCGTGGTGGGAGACCTCCGGCTCCTCGAGGTCGTGATGGTGCGGGTGCCTCAGCCCCTCCTACTCAGAATCGGGGTCGTGGTGGACGTACAGGAAGTCGGCCTGTTTAGTCTGGTGAACCGTCGGCATCAATTGCATCGACTCCCGCCCATGTCGGTAGTGGAAGTACACCTGCTGCTGAGGCTCCTTAAGTAGAAATAGTTAACCCGGTTCAAATAAAGCTAAAGGCGATCCCTTCAATCTAGAGAGATGGTTGGAGACAAAGGGTTCAGCTGATTGCTGGAAGGACTTTACGAAGGTGGCGGTGGATGAGTATCCGTTTGGAGAGTGCAAGCATTGTCATACTAAGATCAAATCACATCCATCCAAGAATGTCACTTCTGCAATGAATAACCATCGGAAATCCTGTTTGGCTAAGGTTGCAGCATCCAAGGATCAGACTGTTCTGAACTTGCAGGCCGCAGATGGTAGTGGAAGTCAAGTAAGTGCTTTATGGAAGTTTGATCAAGCAAAAACAAGATATTCCTTAGCCATGATGATTATAATGGATGAATTGTCTTTTCGCTTTGTGGAAAGAGACGAGTTTAAGCAGTCTATGCATACGATTCAGCCACTATTTAAGATACCTGGGAGGAGAGGTATAAGAGATGATTGCTTTCATATATTCTTGGAGAGAAAAATGAATTTGATAGAGTTTTTTGAATCAAAGAGCAAAGGTAGAGTTTCAATCACCACAGATACGTGGACTTCTGACAACAACAAAAATTACATGTGTGTGACTGCTCACTTTGTTGGAGGTGATTGGAAGTTGCAGAAGAAGGTGATCTCCTTTGTTCCCATCACAAGTCATACAGGAACTGATATTGCAGAGAAGCTTGCAGAAATTCTTGAAGAATGGAAGGTGAAGAATTTTTTCTGCATGACCATGGACAATGCATCTAAAAATGATATTGTGAGTGATTGCATGAGAAGGAAATTAAAGGAGTGGGGGTGTGATTGATGGATGGGAAGTATCTGCAGTTTCGATGTGTCACACACATCATTAATCTGGTGGTGCAGGATGGATTGAAAGTAAACAGAGGAGCTGTGGATAGAATTCGGGACTATGTGAAGTGGGTGAGGTCATCGCCAGCTAGGTTGGCAAGGTTCAAGACTGCTATGCAATTTCTGGAGTTGGATTCTACCAAATTGGTGTGTTTGGATGTACCGACCAGGTGGAATTCCACCTATATCATGTTAGAAGCAACAGAAAGGTTTGGTGGAGTGTTTACCACCTTGTATACAAGTATACAAGATCATTCCTTCAGGGATTATATTGACGCAAGAGGTGGTCTTCCAACTGAACATGATTGGAGTCTGATTAGAAAGTTGATGAAGTATCTGAAAGTCTTTAATGACTTTACCCTCCTAGTCTCGGGTAAGTGAAATTTTTGCTAACTTTGTTTATTTTAATTTGAACATTTGAAAAATTTGGTTTGTTTAAGTCTAATTTCATGTAATCTATTATAATTTGTACAGGAACTAAATATGTGACTACCCATCTTTTCTTGAAGAAACTTGTTCCAATTTATGACATCATTCAAGAATTGAAGAATGATCCGCGTGAAGAGCTCAAAAGGATGGCAGAAAAGGTTGAAGAAAAGGTACAAAAGTATTGGTTTGACACACCTGTCATGAATGAGGAGAATCCTAGGGTGAATCATTTAATCTATATAGCATGTGTGCTTGATCCTAGAAGTAAACTTGATATTGTGTCTGAAGTGTTGGTAATGATTTATGGAAGTATCAAAGGACGAGAAATTCAGACTACTATTAAAAGGGAAATGCGCCAGATGTTTGAGATTTATAAGAGGAAGCATGGATCAGAGTTTGCATCTCAGCCTACCACTGATGATAATATTCCTGATGATGGTTCTGTTGATGGTGCTGGTGATCGGATTAAGATATTCGAGGAGAGGCTTAGAAAGAGAAAAAGGGAAGCACTTCTGCTGGAAACAGGAGGTAGCTCTGCTGAGCTTGACATCTATTTGAAATGTCAAACTGACGGCATCAATGAAGAGAGTGATGATGCAAAGTTTGACATATTGGAATGGTGGTCTCGACACTCTGGAATATATCCGATTGTTGCTGAGATGGCTAAGGATGTCCTAGCTGTTCCTATATCTTCTGTTGCCTCAGAGGCAACATTCAGTTGTGGCGGGCGGATTCTTAGTCCATTCAGGTCCTCTTTGAGCAACCTAATGGTGGAGGCATTGATTTGTGCTGAGGATTGGATAAGGTATCCCGGATCCAGGGAGATTGACGACAAGGAAGATGATGAAGAGAATTTGACTTTGGAAAGTAGTGAGTTCTCAAACTCTCTTATTCTTCAGTTTTTTGTCTTCTTTTCACCTAATTCAATATATGAATGTACTAACACTTTGTCTTCCTTTTTTTTTCTTACTCAATTAATGTCACTTTCCAAACTAGAATGGAAAGTGCAACGAATACTGGCAATGTTGGCAATGGAGATGCAAGCCTCAACATTCCAGTGGAAAATGAGCAGGAGCGTGAAGAAGATGCACCGGAGGAAGAGTATGAGAAAGATGGATATGATGATTATGGTCATGACTTGTTGCCCATATCGAACGAATAGGGTTTTGCAGATGTTGGTTCTTCTAAGGCTGGTGATAAGTGATGATAGATTATGATGTGTTGGTGATTTGTTGTTATCTAGAGGATTTATTGTGATTTGTGTAGTTTATGTTGTTGACTTAATGAATGTGAGACATTAAGTTGCTAATTTAGATGTATTTTCGATGCGAAAGGAATTGAAATGTAGGTTTGAGATTTTAATTTTAGGAGATTTTAGGTTTTTTCCCCTTGCTATCCGGTCGGTTTTGACCGGTTAAAGGTCGGTTTTCGGTCTTGGCGGTCGATTTTCAGTCTTGGCGGTCGGTTTGTGTCGGTCAACAATCGGTTTTTTGGCGGTCTTCGGTCGGTTAGGACAGAAGACCGAACCGTTCATCTCTTTTTGGTGGCGCCGGTTTAACCGCGCCTTAACCGAAACCGCCCGGTCGGTTTACGGATAATCGAGGCGCCAGGGTCGGTCGATGGATGGCTGCCATTGGTCAGGTATCGGTTTAACCGAAAACCGAGAATTCGGTTTTCAGTTAAACCGAAACCGACCGGTTGACAGCCTTAATGACTACCAATGGATGATAATAATTACATTACGATTTTAAAATACAAACTAAAAATTACAACTAATAAATAAATGTTACGTCACAACTAATTTAAAATAATTCTTACCGTCAATAATTAGCTCAAGCTCAAGTAAAAAACACAAGTCAAAGTCCAAGGTCAACAAAAATAAAAGTCAACTATAGGTCAAACATGCAATCAAACCAGTCAACAAAGTCAAACCGGTTAGAGTTCAGGTCTGACCAAACCCATATCGGTCCGACCCAGAACCGACACTGTTGTAAGCTTTGGGAACAAGTTTTCTTTTTCTATAAAAACCCATCTGTTCCATACCAAAAAAAAAGGGGCAGACTCCCTCTCTCCTTCTTCTTCATCTTCATCTCTTGATCATTCCCAAACTCCCTTCCTCTTTGCACACATAGAACAACTTCTCTTCTTTCTCTTTACCACAAACCCACATAAACAGAGGACTTCTCTTGGAACCTTTTCTCTAGAGACAACTTCTTCTTCCCCACGCATCCACTTCCTGAACAAAGACATAAAATGATGAGAGTACAAGACCTCCTCTCCTAATACCGATAAAAAAACATAGCAGAAAAGAGAGAACAAAACTCTGCAAAAGAAAATCCCACTTTCGCTCCTTTCTCCTTACTTCTTTTAGCCACGTACAAAACACACGAAAAAGCATACACCAGAAAAAGGAGAAAGCAAAAGGCAGCAGCAAGAAATCTGGAAAGGGGCAGCTCCCTTCTTCTTCCTTCATTTTCCATACGGATTTACACTCTTTCCTTCAGTTTTCCTTCACCAAGAAAAACAAAGCAGTCCACTTTCTTCTGTTTCTTTTTCTTCTAACCTACATCTTCTTCTAGTTTTTCTCACTCATAGACCAACCATACACACAATATAAAACAAAGGGGCTTCCTTCTCTTCCAAACCCAAACAGACACTCACAACAAAGAATCAGAAGAGGACAACAAGAAAAATCCCATTCCCACTCGTTTGTCTTCCCCACACCAACAGAACACATACAACAAAAAGAAAACTAAAAAGAAAAGGAGGATCAGAAGGCAGTAGTAACCAGCAAAGCTCCCAGAAGTTAGTGGAAGAGGCAACCAGCTATACCCTTCACCAAACAGCAAGCAAAAGCCATCTTACCCACTATAGATAGCTCAAATCAGACCCACCATCACAATGAAAAGCACAGCCATACACCAAAAAGAGACTCGGCCTGTTCTTCGTATCAAGCACCGACAAAACAAAAAGAAAAGAGACGACAACAAGCAAACAACGGAAAGGCAACGAAAATAATGACAAAGACCTTGGCGTCAGAACCACCCTCATCCTCAAATTTGAGGCGATAGGAACACAGTCTGGCAATCAGTCTCAACCACGAGCTGCTGGAGGTCGTGCATTTCCTTCAGTCGGAGACCAAACTGAATCGCCCGGATTTTAGCTATCTCCGGTGACCATTGGGCTCTCTCTCTTCTAATTGCTCCGTACCGGAAGTTCCCCATCTCATCTCGAACCACTGCTACGTAGCCTGTTCCCTGGCAAGCCAGCACCGCCGCATCGACGTTCATCTTCAGCCATCCCTCCGGTGGTTTTTGCTAGTGGACTTGGGGTACCTCAGCAGCTTGCTTGTTTCCCTTGTTTGACTCTGCAGTCTCTTGTGGTTGTTTGTCCATCTCATCAGGACCTGTCTCCATTGAAGCTGAACCAGAACTTTCCAGGTCAAACTTCCTTCTAAGCTGCCTCCATATATCAGCCTCCATAGAAAGAGAGAGAGAGAGAGAGAGAGAGAGAGAGAGAGAGAGAGAGAGAGAGGAAAATAGAAATCAGAGCAGTCATACTCATAACAATATAGAAATCAGGACCTGCCTCCATATATCAGCCTCCTGGGGATGCAATCTGGGCTTCAATGGTGAGAAATCCACTCCAAATAGCTCCTAGTGTTTGTTATTCTCACTTTCTCTCTCTAAAACTCTGTTTTTTTCTCAAAATAGTTGACTCGCTTTTCTTTCACTCGAGTCTGCCTCAAAAAATTGATTCTGGGCGAAATACGGGCTGAGTTACCGTCGTAAACATGGTCTGCCCATATTTTGCCCAAAACGTGTATTTCACTTAGCGCTGATGAGAGGAAAATACCATCGTCATTACCAAATTATTGCCAGTATTCATGGAATTACGATCGTAATTCATTTGGTTCTTGCCCGTATTTTGCTATTCGACAGACATTCTCAAGGATTTGGCTAGCCATTAGAATTACGGTCTAGGCAGTGGCAATTGCGCCCATAATTGTGCAGGGGATGCCCGTATTTTGAATCTTGAATCGCCAACTGACCTCCAAATAACCCGAAACTTGCGACTATGCATCCCTTTACTCGCTAGGACCCAAGATATGACAAAACAACACAACCGAGCGTAAAATAGGCCAAGGAACCACAAATTCGAGCTAAAATGGTCAGGAAACGAGAGTGCAAACATGTGCAAATACGATGCCATCACCCTTAAATACTCCTTGTGCTTCAAATGTTCATCTATCCTCAACTAATGCACCTCAGTTAGAGGCTGAGAAGGAGTACATGTCGAGAGTCCCATCTACTAGTGGTACAGAGTGCTTGGTGTCTAAGTATTCAGACTCGGACTATGCTGGAGATGTTGACACGAGGAGATCGATGATTGGTTATGCATTCACTCTTGGGAGTTCTAGAGTGAGCTGGAAGGAAACTCTGCAGTCGGCGGTGACATAGTCTACTATCGAGGTAGAGTATATGGCGTTGACAAAAGTTGCTAAGGAGGGAATGTGGTTGAAGGGACGGGTTAGTGATCTGGGTCTACATCATGATTAGGCAGGTGTATTGCGACAGTTTGAGTGCAATATACTTGGCCAAGGATCAAGTCCACCATGAGAGGACTAATCATATCAACGTGAGGTATCATTTCTTGAAGACAGAGAAGAGGATTAAGGTGAAGAAGTTTGGCCCTGCGGATAATCCTGCAGATATGTTCACGAAGCCGGTCTCACATGGCAAGTTCCAACACTGCTTGGACTTGCTGAATGTCTTGAGTGGGTGACTCCGCCCTATGGGGCATTGATGGCGGGAGAGAGAGAGAGAAGGAGCAGAGTACATCAGAGATTTCAGAAGAAGAGGATTCAAGTCAAGGTGGAGATTTATTGATGTGACTTGAATCGAACTATCAGCCACTACGACTGGAATAGTCGGGGCGTCTCGTTGCCCGGTCAACGAGTGGCTCTCTCTCGACCGTGGACTGGAATAGTATGGGCTCAATGTTATTTGGGTTCGCGTTCTGGGCCTGGTCTGTAACCGTTTCCTTTTCCAGATTGGATTAGGTTTAGACCCACATGGAGAAGTATAAATATTTCTCATCTCCTCTATTAATCTGTAATCTCTTCGATATAGTGAAACTGGCTCTTTCTCGCTCGTGAACTAGCTAACACACATCGGGTTAGTGAACCACGTAAATCATGTGTTGTGTGTCGTATTTTTGATTCTCACTTGTCTATTCTTGCTTTCTCGATTCTGTCGATTTCCCGATCTGTAGCAGTACGTTTATAAAACGTCACAATAATTTTCAAACAGTTTATTCTTCATAGAAAACAAATATCTTAATCGGCGCAATTACACATAAATATACATTTCCAACGAATTCAACAATTTAATTAGTTATATCTCAAGTTTAGTCCAGCACCAGGAATCCCCACGGATAGGGATCTCGCTAATATACATGGTCATGTGACACTCCGTATAGACCGAGCCTTTCTTCTTGATCCCCATTATCGACATCTTCCCGCGCATGGTTGCCGTCGCGGTAAGGTTCAGACTGCCGCTAACGATATCGTTGATCGCCTTGGGGTTCTCCCTCAGCTTCTTAGCCCGCAGAGTCGCGTATGCCGTGATGTTCATGGACGATTGTTCGGGGATGGTGTCGGCCAGGATCGGGACCCATCCCACGAGCTCCCCGTCGTAGGTTATGTGGCTCGTCGTGTTCTCGAACTTGAAGCTGCCGTGGTTCCTGTTGCGAATGCTCATCACCATTTCGCTTGTGATGGTGTCCTGAGTGATGAAGTCGTCAAGTTGGAGCTTGGCGAGCCCCGTCGGGTAGAGGACGAGATCCGGGTCGTGTCGCTTGAACACGGTGAACGCAAGCGTCACTAAAACTATTGTAGTGATGACGGCTATAACCGTAGCGGATATGCAGCAGAGCTTGATGGTGTAGTTTTTGCCCTTTATCATTGTTAGAGTCTGTGGGGGAAGAAGAGAATGAGAAGGATTGAGTTGGGTAAGAAATGATTTGTTGATTGATATGAGAATTAGTGTTGCCGTTTCGCTGCGGTATTTAAGAGGACGAAAAGGAATCGTATATTCATGACTACAAAGTTGATGCCCAATTGGACCACGTAGAATGAAACTTCGTCGGTTGCTTATATGCTCGTTCCGGTACGCGACTAGGAGAATTAATTTTCGTTATCTTGTGCACGAGCAGATCCGGGGGTTTGTGTCTGCTAATTTGATTAGTGCTGTGCACTTGTCGTTGCCGTAGCGGCCGATGCTTTTGGATGGCTGAAAGCGTATTTAGGAATAAATAGCGGCCGTATATCATTCAATATCTGAATCTTTATGAATGAGTTTTTACTTTTTAGGATAGATATATAGCCTTTTCTTTTCACGTATAAAAGTCATCATTATCGATAAATTCAGAATACAAATCAGAGAATCAAAATAGAAATGGTCGATTTAATTACAATTTAAATTTTATGTGTTCGATTGGTATCTTATGACGTTCTCACGTTCAATGAAAAGTACTGAAATGATAGTGGGCAATGAATAAATAAATAAATATTGCTTTGTAGAGCTCTCTCCTCTCTCATCGCTTTGGTCGCCGTCGCCGCTCTTGCTGAGCATATATACATATCGCTCATTCTAGGGTTTCTAAGAAAGAGAACGTAGGGGATTCGAACTTCCAGCCAAGATTATTTTTTCAGATATATACATATTCGAAAATCAAGAGGACAAACCCGGCTCAAGAGACCGTAAGGAGTATGGTTCTGATATTGGCGACCAATTGGGTCTTTATATCGTTATAGCGAGTGCGGTCTCAAAATCAGCATGCATATCACAGTAATCTATGTCATCATGAAAATGAGAGTGTTTCCCATTGGGAAAGAGCAAAAAATCCCAAATAACTGCCAAGAATCCTTAAAGTAGCCGAGAAATCCAAAACCAAGCAGCCACAAATATCCACAAAACAAGACACCCTAGAGCAGCCGAGAAACCCAAAACCAAGCAGCCGAAATATGCACCAAACAAGACACAGCAGCCGAAAATACCTGGATCGATGTTAAAAACCGAGGAACAAAACCAAAAACAATCCACTGATGACCCAAACACACACCGTAGGCGATCAAAAGCAGCCGAGACAAGAATACCCGAGCAAAGCAGCCGAAATCCTCACAATAGAGGCTCTGATACCATGATAAGAAGAGCAAAATAATAAATCGAACACAGGATTTGACGTGGTATCCCTGATATTCAGGACTAGTCCACGGGAGAGGTAGAACTCTCCGGAGTCAATCTTATTTGTCTTAATTACCGAGTACAGGTTACGAACATAATATATATAGGCGGTTGGGCTACAAGGAACCCTAGTCTAGGTTTACTACGTAATCAAGGCAATTTACCGTAAGCTACCTAAACTCTAAATAGTCATAATTTTCAACAGTTCCCAGTTAGAGTAACTTGTTATTACCACATTGAACCTTTTAATTAGTGAATATCTAAAGAAAAGGTTGGGTTTGCATTACTTCTAACTATACAAAAGGTCTCAATCCTATCCCTTGCGATGTCTCATAGATCATGCCTCTTGGCAACCCTTTTGTAAGAGGATCTGCCAAATTGTTGCACGACCTTACATACACAATAGAATGATTCCGTTAGTAATCAAATACCTAACGTAATCATGTCTTAGGCTAATGTGTCTAGACTTACCGTTGTAAATCTTGTTATAAGCTATAGACAATGTAGCCTCACTATCGCATAAGACAAAAATGGCTGGCATCGGTTGTGGCCACAACTCTATATCTAACAACATGTTTCTTAGCCATTCTGCTTCTTTTCGAGCCGCCGCAAGGGCTAGGAATTCGGCTCCATAGTGGAGTGTGTAATACATGTTTGTTTCTTCGAATCCCAAGAAATAGCTCCACCACCTAGTGTAAAAATCCATCCTGTTGTGGATTTAATATCACTAGCGCTCGTGATCCAACTAGCATCAGAAAATGCTTCTAGTACAACGGGGAAGTTGCTATAGAAGAGTCCCAAATCTTTGGTTCTTTTCAAATAACCAAAGACTCTTCATATAGCTCTCCAATGATCAGCACTAGGATTACTAGTGAATCTAGAAAGTTTGCCCACCGCAAATGCAATATCTGGCCTAGTACATCCCATTGCATACATCAAACTTACAATAGCACTAGTATACTCAACTTATGCCACTGCCCTTCCCTCATTCACACAAAGCTTAAAAGATGCATCATAAGGGGTGTTAGCCTCCTTTATATCCAAATGCTCGAATTTCTTGAGCATCTTCTCGACATAATGTGACTGACTCAAAGCAAAACCCCCACTATGTTTCTTTACTTTGATGCCCAATATAGTATCTACTTCTCCAAGATCTTTCATTTGGAAGCAGGAAGTTAGATACTCTTTGGTCTCATTTATGACTTTCATGTTAGTTCCTATTATCAACATATCATCAACATAAAGGCATATAATGACCATATACTCTTTTGTGCACTTTGAATAAATGCACTTATCAGCAGAGTTATGAGAAAATTCATGAGCCAAAATAACAGAATCAAATTTCTCATGCCATTGTTTAGGTGCTTGCTTAAGTCCATACAATGACTTTTGCAATTTACACACCTTTCCTTCATTTCCAGGCAACACGAACCCTTCTGGTTGCTCCATATACACTTCTTCATCTAACTCACCATTTAAGAATGTCGTCTTTACATCCATTTGGTGTACATGCAAATTGTAAATAGAAGCCAAAGCTAAAAGCACTCTTATGGAAGTAATTCTTGCAACTGGTGCATAGGTGTCGAAGCAATCTACTCCTTCCTTTTGCCTAAACCCTTTTGCAACCAATCTAGCTTTGAAGGTATGTATTGATCCATCCGTGTTATACTTAATGCGAAATACCCATTTGCATGCAATAGCCTTAGATCCAGGAGGCAGATCCACAAGAACCCAAGTCTTATTTATTAATAACGAATCCATCTCATTATTAACAGCCTCATTCCAAAAAGCAGAATCTCTAGAAGCCATTGCTTCTTGATAGGTTTTGGGATCGTCTTGCACATGGAACAAAATGGGTACCTTTCTTGTAACCTTATGTAATATATCTCCTTCTACAAGAAAGACTATATCTTGAGGATCAATAAATTTTGGACCAAAACTCTTTTCCTTTTGAGCCCTTTGACTTCTTCGTGGTTCATTAGAAACAGGGTCATCTAAAGGCCTTTTGCTACTAGAACCAATGTCAAAAGCGGGAGCAGAGATAGACTCATTTGAGGAATCTACAGAAGTAACTCGACATGGTTCTACATATACAACATCATGATAGACCGTTAATTACACATGTTTTCACCCCTGTTCTTACACCGTTTGAGATGTGGTTTCTCGTGTTTTAGACCGATTTCACGCTAGGTTGTGCTTTCTTGTGATATTTCAGGTCCTGGCAAGTGAATAAAGGTTTAGGAGCGAGTTCGGGGTCGATTGGGCGAAGATCGGGCGCGAGGCAAGTCACAAAGGAAGTCGCACGGGCACACCCACAACCCACACGGCCGTGCAAGTGACCAGTTTGGCCGTGTGGGATTGTGCGAGAGCAAACACGGGCAGAGCAGAAAATCCACACGGCCGTGCAAGTGACCAGTTTGGCCGTGTGGAATTCTGCGAGGCTTCACACGGCCAGGCTGGGTGAGCTGCACGGCCGTGCGATCCTGGCCGTGTAAGAAGCCTGGAATTCAACTAAGTGATACGGTGCGTCTTGACTCGCACGGGCAACTGGGTGAGCCACACGTCCGTGCAGCCTGCCCGTGTGAGTCGGGAATTGCTGGTTAAAACCCGATTTTCAGCCAAAGGAAAGGGGAGAGCTGGGTTTTGGATCCCAAACACCCAAGGGACGAACCAAAGAGAGAAAGGGCGATCTAAGGGCATTCTAAGAGTGGAATTGGAGGATTTTTTTGCCTTGGAAGCTCGAGGAACAAGCCCGGACTTGAAGACTGATCATCTGAAGATTCTTACTGCAGTCTCTCTCTTCTCTATGGAGTAACTTCCCTTCACTTAGGTTTTGAGGAACCCTAGCTATGTTTGTTTGATTGGATGATTGTATGAGTACTCTGACTTGATAATCTTGAGTTCATATTCAATCTATGCATGTCTTCATGATTCAATTGTGCTTTAGTCGAGATTATTGATTCTGCTTTGATCCTATGAGAGGGAATACCTGATTAGGTCAATAAAGCACCATAGATTGATAGTAGTGGATCGATTTCTTTAGTCGAGGGTTGATTCACTGCTTTGTATCGATTGAGAACCTCTTTCGATAGAGGGAGTCTAGTTCAGAACGCCTTGATCAGTTGTTCTAGAGAAGGATACGTCCCTCTAGGCAATTGGCTCAAGAGGGCCTTGTTCTTTTAGTCGAGACTCAAGGTCTAGTCAAGGATTCTCCGCATTGTGAATGAAAGTGAAACAAGTTAGAAATCATCAATTGTTAGTCTGGCTAGTGGCTAGGGGGAGTCATACCTAAGTGAGTTCCCAACCTGTAATTAGATTAACTTTAACTGTAGTTTGCTAGAGTAGTTTTAGTTCTTTCATCTTAATCTGGTTTGCTAAATAATAAACTGAAGCTGAGTAATAGTAACTTTAGAGACCCGTGGATTCGATATTTATCACTTGAGCCACTATACTGCAGTCCCTTCCATTGGTTACACTTGGCCTTTGTTAGGAGTTGTGTCATAGCGAGTCACATCACGTCGAAACTTGTTCTCAAAGAACTCAACATCTCTCGATTCCGCAACCACATTAGATTCTAAATCTAGAACCCTATAGACTTTTGAGTTTTCTGCATATCCAAGAAAAACACCTTTCAAAGCTCGTGGTCCTAACTTAGTTCTCTTAGGATCTGGGACTCTGTAGAAAGAAAGACAGCCCCAAACTCTAAGATAACTCAAGTTCGGTTTCCTTCCCTTCCACAACTCATAGGGAGATCCCCTTAGCTTCTTAGACGGAATCATATTGTGTACATGGCAGGCTGTTAGCAAAGCCTCACCCCACAAATTGTTTGGAGCACTAGCATTCATCAACATAGCATTAATCATGTCAGAAAGAACTCCATTTTTTTCTTTCTGCTACTCCATTTTGTTGTGGGGTGTAAGGAGCAGTCCTTTGATGTATTAAACCATGTTGCTCACAAAACTCATTAAAGTTATTTGGAAAATACTCTCCACCTCTGTCACTTCGAAGGATTTGTATTTTCCTACCCTATTGAGTTTCAACAACAAATTTATACAATTTAAACTTATCAAAAGCTTCATCCTTGGTTCGCATTAAATAGACA